AGGTTCAAGTCCACCTGCTCCAGTGTTGTCAAGTTGACATCTTGAAGTTGTCGACTGAGACAGTGTAAGTGTCCTTTCTCATGTTTCCATTATTAAGTGCAGACTTCAGTTGTGAGCAACAAACAATTTTCTTTCGAATTACTACAGACATCATCATATAGCAAGCCTTGTAATGAATTCTTGTCAATTGGTAATTGAAGGGAGATTTATAGATGCCTGTGATTTTTGTTATGAGGAAGTGATGTGTGTGTTATTAAGCTGTTTTATTCCAGCTGCATACAGTCGTAGTTATCTCTTTCTGATAGTTATGAATTTAACGGGATGTATTTTCTTAAAGAAAAACATCCCCCCCACCTTCTGCCTTTCTAAATTACATGTTTTTCTGGGAGGGGGTTGTCAATGTTTCTTTAATTTTCTAATTTTCTGTTTAGTTTGCTTTTGAAGGTCAGGCAAAATGTACCCGAACACTTAGAACCTAAGTGAACGTTGCTTTTGGTTGATTTGGAAATGTTGACAATCTTGAAACGCCTTTCTGGTGTGCAATCACAAAAGAGATTTGCTGACCCTTGTTTGAACTATTAATGTTAAGCCTGTATGAATATATGGGTTTAAAACCGTAATCAAATGATCTTAAGACATAGAAGAAGTAGGCTATTCAGCTCATTAGGTCTGCTCTGCCATTCAGTGACATCATGGCTGATCTGATGATCCTCAACTCCACCTTCCTTGCCTTTTCCCCTTTAACGTTTGATTCCCTTACTTATTAAAAACCTGTTAATCACTGCCTTAAACACACTTAATGACTCACCTTAACAGCCCTCTGAGGTAAAGAACTTCAGATGCACTATCCTGAGAGAAGAAATTTCTCCTCCTCTCCATCTTACATGGGTGACCCTTCATTCAGAGATTATCCCTTGGCCAAGGGGAAATAGCCTTTCCATATCTACCCTGTCAAGTCCTCCTAACAATCTTGTATGTTTCAATAATGTCACTTCTAATTCTGCTAAACTCCAGTGAGTACAGGCCCAACCGACTGAGTGCCTCCTCATAAGGCAGCCCCTTTATACTTGGGATAAAATAGTGAACCTTCTCTGGATTGCTTCTGAAACTAGTACACCTTTGCTTAGATAAGGGGATTGCAACTGTTCACAGTATTCCATTTATGATCTGACTAGCGTCTTGTGTAGTTTTAGCAAAATCTCCCTACTTTTATTCTCCATCTTTGAAATAAAAGCCAACATATCATTGGTCTTCCATATTATATGCTGAATTCGTATGCTAGGTTTTTGTGGATGAGTCCCAAATCCCTTTGCTGTGTTGGTTTCTACAATCTTTCTCCATATAATAATATTCAGCTTCTCTCTTATTCCTGCAAAGTGCGTAACTTAACATTTTCCCTGAGTATATTTCCTCTGCTAAGCTTTTGCCCACTTGCTTAACCTGTCTATATCCTTTCTGCAGAGTTTGTCTTCCCCACCATTTGCCTTCCCACCTAATTTGGTGTCTTCTGCAAACATGGTGATAGTGCGTGGACTTTGCTTATCCAAGTCATTAGTATATTTTGTAAGTAATTGTGATCCCAGTGCTAATCTATGTGGCCCTCCACTAGTTACAGGATGCCATCACGAAATGCACCTTATCCCAACTCTGTCATCTATTAGTGAGGCAAACCACTATTGATGCTTAGTGCCTACTACCTACCTAGTCTAATCTGTGGCACTTTATTGTATGCCTTCTGTAAATCCAGATATATTGTATCCACTGCTTCCTCTCTATCTAACTAACTTTTATTTCCTCAAAGAATCTGAATAACTCTTGGGCATGATGCCCCCTTCATGAAGTCAAAATGCTGTGCTATTACTTCTCTTACAGTAGACTAACATTTTTCCAATGTCCCTCTGACTGAAGAAATTCCTCCTCATTTCAGTTCTAAAGGGGTGTCTCTTCGCACTGAGGCTGTGCCCTCAGGTCCTAGTCTGTCCTACTAATGGAAATATCTTCCCCGTGTCCAGTTTATCAACACCTCTCAGTACCCGGTAAGTTTCAATCAGATCACTCCCTCATCCTTCTAAACCTCATCGAGTGCAGACCCAAATTCCTCAACCATTGTTCATTTGACAAGCCCTTCATGCCCCAGATCATTCTTGTGAACCTCCTGTGGACCCCTTCCAACACCAGCACATCTCCCTTTTGATATGGGGCCCAAAACTGCTCTCAATCATCCAAATGTGGTCTGACCGATGCTTTATACAGCTTTAGCAGTACATTGCTGCTCTTGTATTCGAGCCTAACTTGAAATGAATGCTAACATTGCATATGCCTTCCTGACTGCCAACTGAACCTACATGTTAATCTTAAGGGGACCCTGAGTAAGGACTCCCGAGAGCCTTTGTGCTTCAGTTTCCAAAGCCTTTCCCTGTTTAGAAAATAGTCATCGCCTCTACTCTTTCTACCGAAGTGCTAACCTCACACTTGTTGATGAAATAATATTAATTTCAGCAATAGCCAGAATATGCTTCTAAGTCAAATATTGTTTAAACACACAGAATATTCCAGGTATTCTAATGTATGCTTTATTGCCTGTCAAAAGCTGGACATGTGCTCTCTTTCTCTGGAATAGAAATAGTTATTGTAATGTTATAATTTGCAGCGAGATTTTCCTTTTGGTTACTCCTTTTTCTCTGGCATTTTCTTGCTTGCCTCCCTTTCGTCAATCTCTGTCAGGTTTGTTGTTTGCCTACTTTCCAGTTGCACTGTAGCATGTGCTGATAGTTTTGCCCCTGTCTCATTCTGTCCTTTTCCGAAATGGAATGGAATTTGTAAAGGTGTGAGGAGAGAAATGGCAAATATGATCAAAGGAAAGTGCAAGCTAAAATTAAAATAGCAAAGAGGCAAAAATAATTTTTACTTAATGCTTTTCATTCTGAGCACTTTGAAGATATATTCTCTAGAGCTAATTTGCAGATAGCAAGCTCTTGCAGTCAGTAAGATACAGGACCAGTTGATGTACTTTAATGGTATTGGTTGAGGGACGAATGTTGGCCAGGCAACCAGCAAGTTCTTATGGCCTTGATTGAATAGGACTGTGCAATAGTTGCTAGTCACTTTGACAGATAGTTGGGACTTCAATTAAATGTCATGTTGTATAATAGAGACAACTTGGATTACAAGTGCAAAATTCACAATGAAAATAATAGTGGATTGGATTTTCTGGCCGTGTGAGGTCTGTGTAGTCGTGGCTGGGCATTTTGTGCATTGTGTGCAATCTGTAATTCTTTGAATGTACTGACTGGAAAGATGATCAGAATTTAACTTGTTTGCATAACTAGTTATGTAACAGATTGGTTAATTTAAACTTAGGCTGAAAATCTGGGAAACCATGTTGGGTAGTGTTTGAATAAGCAACAGATTCATCCAGAAGCTTGATGGTGTGCTAACTGAAGCAAAACTATCAAAGAAAGCAAATTACAGTTATGCTGAAGGTAAATGTTTTGGCACATGACTGTGGTGCAAATAGTTGTCTTCTGAAGCACAGCGTGATGCTATATTCGTCTTCGTGGACCGAGATGAAAACTAGGTCACTGACTTACTGTGACAAAACACTTGCTTAGAAAATATCAAGTATGGAACAAGTTGATGTTCAGCCCATGAATTTCATTTGATATTCAAACATAAAATTTGACCCACAAAGGATTCATGTCTAACCTGCTCATTCTGTGTTCTTAATATAGTTGTCTTTAAGTCTGAAAGTTGAAAAGTAGTTGGAAGACGATATTAAATGCAAAGGGAAGGCTTGTATTTGTTTGAAAATTTTTTAAAAAGTTATCACATGCCAGGCACTTACTGAGGAAGCCCAGTTGGAAAAAGATGCATAGTCCTGGAGAGCTGTATTTCCTACAAATAGACCAGTGTAATCCAAGAACAACATTAGATCTCTATTTTACTTGCACTGTTGCCTGAGTTAGAATATGGAGTTAAAATCCCCTTCAAACACCTGAATGCTCAATTTGGGCTGAAACTTCAGTGACGTACAGAAACAGTGCTGCACTGTTGCAGATGCTGTCTTTGGAATGAGACGTACAGGATTTGAACTATTTTAAGAGCAGAGGCGTTCTCCTTGTGCCCTGGTCAGCATTTATTTCCTGGTTAGTATCACTGGCAAAATCGATTTTAGGTGGTGATCTGTACAATGTTCCTGCCTTACAACAGTAACGATAGTAACCACCTATGCAAAGCATTGGAACATCCTGAGGTCATGAAAGGTGCAGGCCTTTTCTATTTTGTACGTTAGGTTTACAACTTTAATTCGGTTTTTAAAAAAAGCTTGGATTTACAGACATGCTGTAAAGCAAAACTTAAATCCAGCACTGATGGATGTGAGGTGAATTTCAGGTAGACTGCCAAAAGCTTAGTAAATGAGAGAGGTTTTAATGAATATCTTAAAGGATGTAAGACTGATAGAGATAAGGAAGTTCAGAGTCTAAGCAGCTCAAGGCATGGCAATAAGTGCAGCTTGAATTGGGGATTCTCAATATCAGAATCAGTCGAAGTGCAGATATCACAAATGTCACAGGGCTAGGAGAGATTACAAAGGTAGAAGGGGTGAAACCATAGAGGAATTTGAAGGATGAGAAGTAGAGACAGTGCTTTAGTCGGAACCCATGTAGGTTAGATAGGCTATGACAGGGTGTCTGGGGTGAACAGGACTTGATGCAAGTCCGGATACAGGCAGCAGAGCTTAACCAAACTTTTGGAGGATAGAATGACTAGGCAAATGGTCAAGGATAGCGATCTGACATAGTGGATCTCCTTTGTACCTATGGCAGTCAAGATTCTCTAAGGGTAAAGGTCAACTAAATCAGCTCCAAGTTTAATTGAAATACCCAAAGCCAAAGACTTGAAAATCACCTTGAGGGCAAGAGGTGCTCAGCCATAATCACTTAGCTAAAATTTCCTCAAATAATTCACAAGTTTTTAAATTGTTTATCATTATTCTACAGCAAGCAAGGGCTGAACAGGAAGAAGAGTTCATTAGTAATACATTGTTTAAGAAGATTCAAGCTTTGCAAAAAGAAAAAGAAACATTGGCTGTAAATTATGAGAAGGAAGAAGAATTTCTCACAAATGAGCTCTCCCGCAAACTGATGCAGGTAGGCATATGAATGTTTTAGTGCATCGTGCTTTGGAATAAATTTCTTTTTTTTTTTGTAAATCAAAACTTTCAATAAACTAAAATGATCAAAGTTTTTTTTTGAACTAAATTACTGTGTAGAGTGCACTTAAATAATGTATTTCAGTCACTCTAGAATCAGAACCTTCAAGCATCTTCACCTTAAGCAAAAGAAATTTCTCTTATCCAGTTTTTTAAAAATCAGGTCTGAGTATTTGTGATTAAATCATAGCTTAAACCATGGAGGTGCTTGTATCTCATCTAGTTATGCATGTCCACTTTAATTTTCCAGCAGTAAATACATATTCCTTGACAGAATAAGGCACCAATTGTCAATAATCATATTCTTTCCAGTAGTTTGAAAAGCCTGTTCAGCATCCAGACTGTCCACAGGAGCACGTGCACATCAGAATTTTTGATCGGTTTCCCTTAGGAAACCAGCGTAATGTTGTCTTAACAATGTGTCCAAATCTGTTTTATTACTGAGCTGTTAATTATTGCATACCTCTTCTGCAAAACTGCAGCCTTTGCTGAATCAGGGGAATTGCATCCAGTCTTTGAGTTAGTGTTTCCTCCATTTGTTAGACTAATCATCAGTGCTGTAACTTGCTCCCCTTACTTTCTACCTAATCAATTTCCAATCTGGTTATTCAAATATGTTGAAACCCAGTACCTTTTAGCAATGCAGTCAATTAAGATTGGGTTGCAGAGAAATTGAAGCTGTTACCTTTTTGCTGGCCATTCATTCGTTAAAGCTTTAAATAGCATCAATTTAGCCTTGTGACTCTTTAACCATAGTTCCTCCTGTAAATCTTGGCAGGCAACCCTTTTATGTTTGGCATGTTAGCTTATAACCTGGCTGCTCAATAGTTGCCCATTTTGGAAAAAGTTCATTTATCATTGTTTCCCACTTGCATTGCTCTTTCCTGTTTTAGTTGCAGCATGAAAAGGCTGAACTGGAACAGACACTAGAGCAGGAACAGGAGTTTCAAGTAAACAAATTGATGAAGAAGATCAAAAAGCTGGAGAATGATACTCTTTCCAAACAATTTACACTTGAACAGGTAACCTTTTAAACCCTTTTTAGCATAATAGTTTGTTGTCAGTTTGCGGCTATGATTTCAGATCCTTTTCTGACTTGGGATTTGCAGCTTTGTAAAAACTGCAAATCTGTGCTTTAAGTTTACTGCATGGTAGTGACAGTTGCTTAGGATGGGAGTTTCAGAACCCAATGCTCAGTTCTCCCTGAAGAGCTGTTAGAATTATGCTATCTTTCCCTGTGTCAGCCTTGCAGGATTGTGGCTAGAAAGACCCTTGTAACCAAATTGTCTCCCATTCCAATACCTTCGGCAGTTGCACCCAAAGATTGATTCATAGGCCGAAAACGAGGCTCTTATTACCTCTGTGCTCATGTCCTTACTTTATAAAAACTAATCAGCCTCGCTCCCCTACTTTTTCCTTGTTGACCTGCAAATTTTTCTTTTGTACAGGCCGGAAGTTCAGTGAATGTAGTAACTGATCTAGCTTCTGGCTGTTCGATTTCATGTCTGAAATACCAGCTGAGGTTCCATTGTGCCTGCAGGGGTGCTGAGAGAAGCACTGTTTTGCTTGTTTAATTGGTTGTTGCAGTGTGTCCTTGAGCTCAAGTTCAAACTCTAATTCTATAGCAGAGCCAGTTAGTCTCCCTACTCTTGTGTTCCTGCAATGGAACACTGGAAATTCTCCTCCCTAAGAGGATGAATAAGTAGCTATGTCCCACACCTGCATCCCGGAGGACTGACACAAAAGTACTGTTTTCCAATTAAGCAATCTTTCGCTGTTGTGCCAACCTTTTCTACTCCTTGACCAATCGCTGACCACAAAAACCTTTAACATTGTCCAGGGAGGAAGACTTTAGGACTTAAGAAGCAGCAGTAGCTTGTATTAACATAGCTGATTTTAACCTGGTTAAAATATCCACAGTGGCCAATAGGAATATTATTGAAAACGTTTGACGCCAAGCTAACTTTGGTCAGGGTCGTAGGTTTTAAGATATGTCTTTGAGGAAAATGTGGAAGAGATGGTTTTAAAACGGAGACAACAAGGACCAAATCCGTGCTGGGTAACCAGGTCCTGCTGGGCATCGGGACACCGTCAGCAGAGTTTTAGATGAGCTTAAAACAGGAGAGGCCCATAAGGAGTGCATTGAAGTGGTCAAGTCTAGAGGTAATAAAAGCACAGATGAATCAAAGGCAGAGTTGGGTGGTGTTATGGAAGTGGAAACAAGTGCGTTTTGATATCTGATCAGAAGCTCATCTGCATCAAGTAAAGGATGATGATGGATACAGCACCTTTGGAAAAAGAATTGAGTAATATTTGAAGTCTGTTATGATGCTCCTTTGGAACTTAGATATAGAAAGCTGGAGTTACTTAACATCTGAAAGGAAAAGGTTTGTTGGTAAAGCATCAAGTGAGATGAAGAATTAAATGGAACTAGGGACCAGGATAACTTTGAGAAAACGTGAAGCTGATGAAGAGAGAGAGAGACTGTGTGTGATGGCAATGAGTGTGAATTTCAACATGCGGAGAGAACTGCGTAAGGAGCTTTGCATGTCTAAGCTGCATGTAATCCAGGGTGAATTCACAGCACAATGGATGGATCTTCAGTTAGCATCCATGTGGGTAAGACGAAGCTGGAGACAGTTACTGGGGATGGAGATGTGGCTGTGAAAGCAAGTATTGGTAAAGACTTTAGTAAACACTAGGAGGGAAATGCAAAGCTTTGAAGGAAGCGAGCTGAAGATTAAAATAAAAATCCCATTAGCGTGAAGAGCAGAACCTCTTGAAGGCGGGGCATGCCTGGAAGAGAAGTGGCAGCAACCCAAACATCAAATGTATGTGTCAAATCTGGCCCCAAGGTTGTGAATAGTATGCTTCAACTTTATCATTTGCTCGGGAGGCAGACGTATGAACTAGGGAATGGAGATTTGCAGTGGGAATCAAAGGCAGTTGCTTTGATATTAATATTTAGTTGGAGGATATTTGTACTTGTGCAAAGTACAAATGTGAGAGCAGCCTGACAATTTGGAAATGGAGATGTGGCTGTGAAAGCCAGTATTGGTAAAGACTTTAGTAAACACTAGGAGGGAAATGCAAAGCATTGAAGGAAGCGAGCTGAAGATTAAAATAAAAATCCCATTAGCGAGAAGAGCAGAACCTCTTGAAGGCGGGGCATGCCTGGAAGAGAAGTGGCAGCAATCCACTTGCATTGTGGTGAGTTTCAACCAGGTGTTATCACTATATGTGTGAAAACTGATGCCGTCTCAAACAACCAACTTCAAGTCACAACATAATTCCAATCTAAATTGCAGCATTCACAGTACCTTCCTTAGTTGAAAGGGTTTGGAACACTGGAAATTCTTCTCACTCCCCAGTAACAAGTTAGTTGGGAGAGAAGAGCGAATTTCTTCCAGCTTGGAGTTGAAAGAGTTCAGATGTGCCATTGTTAAACCAAAATGTTTTGGCTTTTGCTGTCAGTCATAATGAATGGGTAAGGTTAGGTATCTGCAAGGATGCTTAACCAAGATAATGAATGTAGGGATAGAAATTAAAACTTTTGCCACACAAAGGTTAACATTACATTGGCTACTGGACATTGGGATGTCCTGTCTCTCAATTTATTTGACCAACAATATCCTTTTTTTTTAACTGCCCATGGTAGCGCGCTCTCCCATGATTTTTCATGTGCAGTATATAATAAAGAATGTTTGGGGCATGTGGGCGTTGGGAGGTGAGAAATTAGGTGGTCTTCAAAAGATTTGGGTAGAATATACTGTTTTTTTGTATACTTCCTCTTGACATTGTTATTGTATGAATTTATCATGTTGATAGTTCGCATTTCACTAAGAGTAAAATATTTATTTAAAGTCTTTCATTTTATCGTAGCTGAGACGTGAAAAAATTGACCTTGAAAATACTTTGGAACAAGAACAAGAAGCATTAGTAAATCGATTGTGGAAGCGGATGGACAAACTGGAAGCAGAGAAGCGGTAAGTTTCTTGACTCTAACTGCTCAACTTGTTTTAACTGTGTGTATTCTGTTCCTTCCACTAGCTCAATAGTAAGCTGATCAAGCCAAAACTAGATTGTTCCAGATGGTAATAGAGTGGAGCTATTACCAGACCCATGGTGATAACTAATGCTGTCATATATTTGCAGAAGTAGTTTTGGGTGGTCAGAGAGATTTATTTATCCTTCTCCTCCCACCCACCCCTCCCAAAAAAATACAGAATTTTGAAAACCGTTATCCTTCGTTTTGAAAGACAAGAAATGAAGAAAGGTTGATTACTTCGTGGGGTTGTCTTACATGCAAATATATATGCTTCCTCTGCAACTTAACCTGATCCCTGTGGGAAGATGAGACAAAAACAGAAACTGTTAGAGACACCTAGCAGGTCTGGCAGCATCTGCGGGAGACAAAGCAGAGTTATTGCTTTGGGTCCAGTGACTCCTTTTCAGACCGGCTTTCAGTTTTGAGTCACTGGGCCTGAAATGTTCACTCTGCCTTCTCTCCACAGATGCAGCCAGACCTGCTGAGTTTCTCCAACAATTTCTGTATTTGGTTCGGATTTCCAGCATCTGCAGTTCTTTGGGTTTTTTTTATAAACTCCATGGGAAGGTGTTGCTTGGGAAGGATGAGGGCCAGGTTAGTGCTGATTAATTCGCAACAATTTCAGGTCCAAGTAAACTGTCAAATTGATATAGGTTGCGGAAGCTTTATGCAGGGTCTGATGACCACGTGATCACCACTGCAGTGACATTACATTTTCAAATGTTTCGTGATATTTTCAACGAGCTAGGAGGACTAGCTGTATTATTGCCATTCTGTTAATCCAGCATCTCAGTTAATATATTGGGGCCCTGGTTTCAAATCCTGCCACGGCAGATGGTGGAATTTGAATTGAATAAAAAAAATTGGAATTAAGAATCTACTGATAACCATGAAATCATTGTTGATTGTCATATAAACCCATCTGGTTCTAATTCCTTTCAGGGAAGGAAATCTGCCATCCTCACTTAGGCTGGCCTACATGTGACTTCACACCCACAGCAAACTGGTTAACTCAGCTGCCCTCTGGGCAGTTAGGGATGGGTGATAAATACTGGTCTGGCCAGTGACACCCTCATCTTGTGAACAAGTTTTAAAAAAATGCCTCGCTTTGAAGAATCTTACAAGGTGGACAGTCTCCTCTCAGATGTTAGGCATATTTTGTTGGATGTTGCAGTCATTTGAGTATTATTAATTTTAAGCAAAGTTGTCTCGATCATGTGTATCTTGTCCATGAAAATCTGCCTACCTGATTTGTCTTTTTCTGAGAAAAAATACTTTAATTAATACATTACATTAAAGAAAACTTGATTTAATATATTTTAGAATAAAAATCTGTTGTTTTGTTGTGGCTTAATTTCTAAGTATTTCTTAATTTTAGTATTTTACAGGAGAAACTAGATCAGCCTGTGTCGGCTCCACCATCTCCAAGGGACATTTCCATGGAAATAGACTCGCCAGAAAACATGATGCGACATATCAGATTTTTGAAAAATGAGGTAGAGAGGCTAAAGAAACAACTCCGAGCTGCCCAGTTGCAGCGTAAGTTCTACCTTAAGTTGAAATGTCATGATTGACGTAGAAAGAAACTACCTGTTTCTGTTGCTGTCAAGTGATACTTTAAAATCGATTTAGCCAATAATGAAATCTTGTACTTTTTGTTAAACTGTGTCTCACTGATATAGAAGGAAGAATGTGTTTTCAGGAATTGGCTGGTGCAGAACCTTGGTTAGCCCCCTTCACATACTGGATTCAAAGTCATTTCAGCCATTGTTCCTATGTCACATAGGTCTTGTAGCATAAACCTGCCACTAACTTAACAGTATCTCTCGAGTCATAATGATCTGGGAAAAGTGTTCTTTGGTTGGGGCTGTCACTAAATTGAAAGAGTTTCTTACTCTAGGCTAATTGTTTGCCTTATTAATACTCGATGTTAGCACTAGGGTGCGTGAAATGACATTTGTCCCATTCATTTGAGCACAAAACCTGAATAGAGTGAAATTTTGGTGCAGTTTTAAATTCATTAATTCCCCTGCCCTATGTTAGTTGAATATTAACACAAATCCAGCCCCTTGGTGGGTTCTAAAGAATGAAGATCCGTTTGAATTGTGGGTGGTGGCGTGGTATTGTGTCTGGACTGGCAATCCAGAGATCCTGATCAATGCTCTGCGAATATGAGTTTGAATCCATTGCAAATAGTGAAATTTGAATTCAGTTAATAAATCTGGAATTAATACCTCGTCAAATGGCGATCATGTACCCATTGTCAGTTGTCTGGTTCATTAATATCGTTTTGGGATTCTACATGGGATTCTAGATCCACAGCGTTGCGGTTCACTCTTAGCTGCTCTCTGAAATGACCCAGTAAGCTAAAGTTGAATAGCAATTGAGGATGGGTGACAAATGCAGATCTTGTCCAACAATGCCCATATTCCACTAAATAATAGAGAAAAAATACTTTAATTAATACATTTCATGTAGTACCAGCAAAAAGCTAGAGAATGGAATGGAATTGGAATTGATTTGCCCAGTTAGAACTAACATTATCACTCGTACGGGTGGAAATGGCAGCCTTCTTTGTTTTCCAAAGTTCCTTCAATGCATCAGCCATTGATTTTATTCTTCAGTGATCTGAATCTCTGATCTTTTTGTCAGCATAGCTGATTCAGTTCAAGTCCATAAGGACTCCTGAGAAAGGTGCTCTTTTCTCATTTCGGAAGAATCTCTTACTGAGGTGACGCTGACCAGTGCTACATCAACTTGGTGTTACAGGAAATTGCTGTGTGCATGCATAGCAGCAGCTGTAGTTCCTATTCACAGTTCTGCTTCAAACCAACACCTTTTATGTCTTTGAACTTGATATTTTGTTAATTTGTTATGTGCCTTTATTGCAATTTATCAATTTTTTTTGTACTGATGTTCTTGAGTAATTTTCACATGGTTTCTGTATTGTGCAGTGGATCTCTAAATCTCTCACTTGCCTGCACCTCTGAATTAGCAGTTTCAGTTTTCACGTGCATGATTTTCTCTTGACTCTCTGTTTTCGTTCTGACAGTTTTGCAATTAGTTTGGGATGTTATGCCGACCTATTTTGCTTTTCTCAGTTGCAAACCTTGTGCAACCTTCAGCTGATACTAACTTCAAAATTTACAGATACGGAGAAAATGGCACAGTATTTAGAAGAAGAACGTCACATGAGGGAAGAGAATCTGAGGCTCCAGCGAAAACTACAAAGAGAAATGGAAAGGAGAGAGGCCCTTTGCAGACAGTTGTCAGAAAGCGAGTCTAGCTTAGAAATGGATGATGAAAGGTTTGTGTGATGGATGGTGCTTCTATTGAGATTTCTTTTTTATTAAAGTTAACATGCAATGGGACAACAAAAACAAAAATTCCTGGTCAATTTTAATTTGATTTTTAAACCGCATGTGTTGCAGTTGAAGCAGGGAACTTCCTGGTCTGCCTGGCTGAATCTACACTGATAAGTGCTTTTGCAACCTATGCAATCCTAGAGCTATTGGAACTTTTCATTGAAAGGGAAAAGATGTTAAAATGATTTTAATCATGTTGACATGTCTAAATTTTAGATGTAAATGTGCTTGTTATACTGCAGAAACAGAATGAGACACTAAAGCCCTTCAGTAAATGAATTACTTTTGAAGTGCTAACATTGTGGGCGGAAACAAAGGTTCAAAATTAGCAAGCCTTGAGTACAAATGCAGACTGAATTAAATTTCCTCCTCCCTGCATCATATATGGCAGTCTTCCTCCAAAATTTATTTCATGTAAGAGCTGCATAAATGAATGGCTGAACACCGCCTTGGATTTATAGAGAAGTAGACTGAGATGATCAAATGACCACAGGATTCGCTGATTCTTTTGCTGGTTCAGTGACAGGTGTTTTAGGGATGCATAGCCAAAGGGATCACTTGGTTGCATCATTGCTATGTAATATTTATGCAAGATATCCTTGATTTTATTAACGGGTGATTTGAGATAACAAACTTTCAATAAGACATGAGCCTATTCTGGTTTTGCACATTGTAGCAAAAAGTTCAATCTAT